ACTGATTTCCTTTAGGATGAACAGGTTGGATCTCCTTGCAGTCCAAGGGACTCTCAAGAATCTTCTCTCCAACACCAGAGTTCAAAAGCATCAATTCTTTGGCACTCAGCTTTCTTTATAGTCCAACTCTCACATCCATTCATGACTACTGGAGAAGCCATAGCCTTGACTAGACGACCTTTGCTGGCAAAGTAATGTCTCTGCTTTTTCATATGCTAAGTTGGTCATAACTTTTCTTCCAAGGAGTAGCATCTTAATTTCATGGCTGCAATCACCATCTGCAGTGATTTTGGAGCCCCCACAAATAAAGTCTGTCACTGTTTCCACTGTTTCCCCATCTATTTGTCATGAAGTGTTGGGACCAGATGTCATGATCTTAGTTTTCTGAATGTTGAGCTTTAAGCCAACTTTTTCACTCTCCTCTTTCACTTTCATCTTGAGGCTCTTTAATTCTTCTTCACTTTCTGTCATAAGGGTGGTGTCATCTGCATATCTGAGGTTATTGATATTTCTCCCAGCAATCTTGATTCCGGCTTGTGCTTCATCCAGCCTAGTGTTTCTCATGATGTACTCTACATAGAAGTTAAATAAGCAGGGTGACAATATACAGCCTTGATGTACTCCTTTCCTGATTTGGAACCAGTCTGTTGTTCCATGTCCAGTTCTAACTGTTGCTTCCTGACCTGCATACAGATTTCTCAAGAGGCAGGTCAGGTGGTGTGGCATTCCTGTCTCTTTAAGAATTTTCCACAGTTTGTTGTGAACCACACAGTCAAAGACTTTGGCAGAGTTAATAAAGCAGAAATAGATGTTTTTCTGAAACTCTCTTGCTTTTTCTATGATCCAGTGGATGTTGGGAATTTGATCTCTGGTTCCTCTGCCTTTTCTAAATCCAGCTTAAACATCTGAAAGTTCATGGTTCATGTAGTATTGAAGCCTGGCTTGGAGAATTTTGAGCATTACTTTTCTAGCGTGTGAAAGAGTGCAATTGTGTGGTAGTTTGAGCATTCTTTGGCATTGCCTTTCTTTGGGATTGGAATGAAAACTGACCTTTTCCAGTCCTGTGGCCACTGCTGAGTTCTCCAAATTTGCTGGCATATTGCGTGCAGCCCTTTCACAGCATCATCTTTAGGATTTGAAATAGCTCAACTAGAATTCTGTCACCTCCACTAGCTTTGTTCGTAGTGATGCTTCCTAAGGCCCACTTGACTTCGCATTCCAGGATGTCTGGCTCTAGGTGAGTGATCACACCATCTTGATTATCTGGGCTGTGAAGATCTTTTTTGTATAGTTCTTTTGTGTATTCTTGCACCTCTTCTTAATATCTTCTGCTTCTGTTAGGTCCATACCATTTCTGTCCTTTATTTTGCCCATCTTTGCATGAAATGTTCCCTTGGTATCTCTAATTTTCTTGAAGAGATCTTTAGTCTTTCCCATTCTATTGTTTTCCTCTATTTCTTTTTGTGAGCTTGAGCACATTAACAATTTTATGTTTGTTTTCTCAACTATGAAAATGAGAGTCACTCAGTTATGTCCAACTCTTTGTGACCCCATGCACTGTAACCTGCCAGGCTCCTCTGTCCATGTAATTCTCCAGGCCAGGATACTGGAGTGGGTAGCTGTTCCCTTGTCCAGGGGATCTTCCCAACCCAGGGATTGAACCCAGGTCTCCTGCGTTGCAGGTGGATTCTTTACTGCCTAAGCCACCAGGGAAGGCCTTCTCGTCTATAAACGTGATAAATTAAAGTATACTTAGCTCAGGATTTCCCTGGCAGTCCAGTGGTTAAGACTCCACACTTCACTGCAAGGTGCATAGGTTTGATCCCCAGTTGGGGAACAAAGATCCCACATGCTGCATGATGTGGTCAAAAAGAAAAAGGAATAGTATACCTACCTTATTAGATTGTTGAATGAATTATGTGATTTGATTCTTTAAACCCCATCACAGTGCCTGCTCAAAAGTAAGCATTCTAGTAGGAAACTTTCTCCTGTCTTTAGCTATTGTTTTTAACGGAGAATTTTTAGCAATTTATATACATCTCTAGTCCTGACTTATTTTCTAGACTCCATTCCCATATTGCTATCTACCTTCCAAACTTTTATGCCTAAATTCACTCACATATGTTTAATGAACAGTTACTTTGGGAGGTGGATAGGTTATGTGTTGCAGGAAATAGTTTCTGCCCTGTATTAATTTTCTGTTGCTGCATTACAAATTACCACAAACGTAGCTGCTTAAAACAACTCACTTTATGATGTCAGAGTTCTCTGGACCAGAGGTCTGACAGGAGTTGCGTTGTGCTGGATTCAAGGTGCTGGCAGGGCTGCTTTGTTTCCCGGAGACTCTAGGGGAAAATCCACTTTCAAGCTCACTCAGGTTGTTGGCTGTAGTCCTTTCTTCGGGGTTGTAGGACTGTGGTTGCTAGCTCTCAGCCAAGGGTTGGCCTTTGTGCCTGAAAGCTGCCTGTTCCTTCTCATGCTTACTGTGAGCTCCTCGAGGTCTATGTCCAGTGTTTACATGTGGACCTCTGTATCTTGGAGCCAGCAGCAACGTCTCTCTCATACTATGAATCCCTCTGATTTCCCCTTCTGCCATATCAGTTTTGTGCATCATTACAGTTCTGGACTGAGACAGTTCTCTAAGGGTTCATGTGATTTGATTGAGCCCACTCAGATAATCCAAGGTAATCTGTTGTAAGGTCTGTATCCTAATTACATCTGCAGAGTCCTTTTGGCCAATAACATAAAATATTCACAAGTTATGGAGATTAAGGTATGAGCAACATTGGCAACTGTTATTCTGCTTACAACATGCTGATGAAAAGCTTGAAATCTGGTTGGGATATGGACCAAAGTGACCAAATAAAACCATATTGAAGAGGCTGGTATCGTATATAGTAGGAAAACACAGGAAGAAGAGCATCAGTGACATTTGAGCTGAATATGGAAGTATGAGTGCTTGTTTGGTAAGGGGCTGGGTGAACATTTCAGGGAGAAGAAGCTATTATAGCGACAGCAGTAATAGTAACAATTGGCTGTATCAAGCACTTTTAAAGGTTATCTCACTGAAATTCTCGCAAATGGTAGATACTATTATTATCTACCATTATGGGCTTCCCTGGTGGCTCAGCTGGTAAAGAATCCGCCTGCAGTGCGGGAGACCTGGGTTCGATCCCTAGGTTGGGAAAATGCCCCGGAGAAGGGAAAGGCTCCCCACTCCAGTATTCTGGCCTGGAGAATTCCATGGACAGTCCGTGGGGTCGCAAAGAGTCAGACACAACTAAGTGACTTTCACTTCACCTTTATATCTTCTACAGATGAAGCTATAATATCTTCACATATGGAATAGGAATGGTAAAATTATCTTATTGGGTAATTGAAAGAATTAACAGTGATTACACATGACTAAAGCATAACACATAGTAAAAACTGAAATCATGGTAGGCCAAAGAGTGGAGGGTGGAGAGGAGAAATACTTAGGGCATAGAATTGACTAGACTTGGTCACTGGTCACAAAGGCGGGGATGGGGGAGAACTCACAGGACTTAGGGAACTTTTTGATTTAGGGGGTTTCATGGGTGATAATATTTAATATTGTTAAGAGGTAAAATTAGGTTTTGTTTTTAGTGAGGAGAGGGCTTTGAGAAGGTATCTGTGGGAATATTTGTTTGAAATTAGAGTAGAATAGGATAGATCAAGCACTCAGAAGAGGGGTCAAAGATGAAGTTGTCACTATGACTTCAAATTCATCAGGTCTTAAACAGGTTCTTCATTTTAACTTGCCTGTTTCTTCTCAGCATTCTTTTGTTTTCCTAAGCTTGGTATCTTCTTTTACCCTTGACTCCCAACTGACTGAAGAGGGCAGGAAAAAAAGACCTTTATGCAGTGCTTACAGACTGCTGTGTGTTTGCAGATTTCCGTGGTGTAGGTTCTCCTGCCACAGCCCATTTCAGACTGTGCTGCTTTTGTGCTACAGCAGTGGAGTTCAGTAGCTACACCAGAGACCACGTGGGTTGCAAAGCCTAAGATATTTACTGCCTGTATCTCTCCAGGAATAGTTTCCCCACATCTGCTGTAATGTCTCTAAAAAGATCAACATGATATAAAATATATAAATATTGAATATATTTATAAACTATAAATATAAATATGGGAGGGTGATTCCCTATTTCTGTTCACTCTTTCTTTTCATTAAGATGGGTAAGGGGAGTAGGTGGTTTGAGGGGGTGATGTGTGAAATTATGAGGGGTCTTGAGGTTATTTTTTGGATGTATGCTTTTTCTCTGAATAAGAAAAGTGATGCATGATATAACATAATTTTTTAAAAAGAAAACCTGCCTTAACTATTTTGAGACTAGAACATAGGGCAGCAAAGATAGAAGCAGAGAAATCTGTTGGGAGGCCATTGTTATAATCTGGGTAAATCTTTGTTTCATTCAGGGTAATACCTGTGGAAGAGGTGAGGTGAGTTCAGATTCTGGATACAGTTTGAAGATAGAGCGGGCAGGATCTGCTGATGGGAAAGGAGGAGTTAAGGATGAGTCCAAATGGAGAAGTAGCGCCAAAAGGGTGCCTTGGGTTGGAGCCTGACTTATTGAGATCACATGGCAGCAAGTGGCTACGTTTGAGGTTTGGGGAAGAAAATTGAGACTTCAATTTCTGTAAAACAATTTTTTTTTTTACTTAGCCACTTAATGTTTCATAAGGAAAAGTTCTTTTTCTAAAGTAATACTTCCTTTTAAGAATTATATTTTAAAATAAATCTAGGAAAACATGGTAGTGTTTCTAAAATATGGCATTTTTAGAAAGGAAATACCCTTTGGATAGGATTTTTCACAGTGTGATTTGGTGACTTAAAAAAAAGCCTATTCAGAAATTAATGGTTTTGGCTGAGTCGGTTTCAGCACTTTCCCCCCAAACCTTTAGTGCGGTTTCAAAAAGTTATGAGTTCGTATTTCATTGTATTGTAAATGATTTATTACTCATGTCTTTTTTTGTAGGTTTTACTTGTAATGGACACAAGGACAGAACAGACATTTATTTTAAAAGTAAGTAGAATTTTTCTGTTTAATGAGTTTAGAAATGTATTTTCAAATTATGCTTCTGAAAGAAAGTATTTAATTTTTTTCTGGGTGTTTGAATGGCTTTTTTTGTGTTTGCAGTCATCTGGATTCACTTTACTTTGTGTCCTTCCATCACAGTTGATAAATACTCTGTAGCATACATTTAAAAAGAGTGTGGAGGAAATAATTTAGATAAGTTGAAGACTCATTTTGTGCTATTTAAATGTATAGTGTATAATTTAAATACATGTCTAATATATTTTACATAATTTATGAAGACCACATACAATCATACTTTTGATTATGATTACAGTTCTTAAGAGCTGAAATTTTACCTTAAAGTCTTTGTTAAAGGTATTTGGAAAAATGTTATCTACATCCCTGGCCATGTCTTTTACCTAAATTCAATTTTGATTCTCTGTATTACTCAATTTGTAATTAAGTGAATAAGGGAAGAAACCCCCCTCAACTTTGTAATTTCAAAATTGTATTTGAAGTAGATTTTGATAGTGCAATATTCTAAAAGTATCCTAATTTTAAGCATTTCCTCAGCATCCAGAATTAATGAATTTCAAATCAGTGTTATGTTTTTCTGATATTTTTTCTTTTACTTATCAGCATGGCAGTAGGTCACATTGACATACAGGGAAATAAATTTTTCTCTCTGAGTATACTTTATTGCTGATATTTCCTCAGGTTTTTAAACCATGGTATGATGTGAGAAACTCCACATACCTTGTTCCTTTGGAGAAAACTTAAAATGATCTTCGTATTTTTTTGGGAATAGAATTTCAAAACTGCCCGTTTAATCTCGGAATACCTTTTGTGTCTCAGGAATTTGAATTGATCTCACGATGTCTACTGCTTTGAAGATACACATAAGTAAAATAAAACTTAAGAAAAGGTCATAGAGAAATAACTGTGTGTCATCCTGATGACTTAGTTTGAGAGCATCTCTAATAAAAACACTGACCCACGTAATTGATTTTAATGGCAGCTTTGTGGCATCTTCAGTGCTCTGGACTCACGCCAGATGCCATCAGCAGAGCCTCCGGGGACCGAGGGGCATAGAGCAGCAGATGAGTGGTTTCTCTGAAGCCCAGAGTAACTCGGATAGATTAGTTTGGTTGATAAACACAGGGCGCAGCAGGCTCCAAAGGCAGCTGAGGGTACAACTGACCTTTTTGTTCTCTGTCAGGGTCTAAGGAAAAGCAGCGAATGCAGCAGGAACAGAAAGACCATCGTCCCCCGCTGTGTGCCCAACATGGTGTGCCTGCACAAGTACATCATTTCCGAGGAGTCGGTATTTCTTGTGCTGCAGCACGCAGAAGGTTGGTTTGTAGCTTAAATTGTTTATGCACTGAAAGCTAAGCACCCTTCTTAGCTTTTTAGTTTCTATAATGCCCTTCTTCCTTCTGTCATTACTTGAGTGGATGAAACATATGAAACACATGTAAGAAACGGTTTCCTTATGCCTCTGCTCGTGCCGCCCCCCCATCCCCCACTTTGAGTTGCGAGGGACAATGAAAGCCCAGGCGAGCAGCAGATTGCATTTGAACTGTAGGAACATTCTTAGATACGCTTAGCTGCTTCCTTACTCCGAGGATGGGTCCAATATGATGAGAACTTTAATGCGGCTGTGTGCTAAGAGGACTAGGTTCTATCTTAGGGATTTCTCTTGTTCTCTGCTGAAAAGAAACATTAATGTTAGATGACAAAATGAAAAGCATCCCCTGAAGAATTAATTAATTACCTCCTTTTTTAGAAAGCGTAGGTATTTGCTTAATGTTTGACATTAACTAGTTATTCTGATCTGGGTTTTTATGAATACAGCCATTGGCATCACATATGGGTACAAAGCAGGGGCGTAGTGCTCTGCCTTCAGACTCTTTATGAGATTTCAGCTCTTAGTAAAGGGAACAGGTGGCAAAAAAAAAAATACTAAATTTTGGTTTGTTTTTGCCCTTTAACACCTGAATTTAAATAATTAGTCTTTTATTAAAATGAACACAGCATATAAATATAAATGCACAAGATAAACATTGCCTTTTGGATTTTGAGAGATATTTTTAAAATGGTAAAGAAAATTAAATTATTTTCCATATTTCAAGAAGGTGTTGTTATTATTTTTACGTCACTGAGCATAAAGAACTGTTGTGCCCTAGTAATAGGTGTAACACTTGAATTGAATGCATTTTGCTAGGAAAATGAGTCATTGCTTTGTGGGATGAGGTCTCTTATGATAACTAATGTAAGATTTTTGACGGGGGCAATAAACTATTAATATTGTTTATTATGAAGTACAGCACAAGATAACTACAGATGGAGGGAAGACCTCCATATGTAGTATTTAATAGGAAATTCAGAAGGGGCTCCATGGTCTCTCAGGTATTAAGAGAGTTAATTGCGTGTGTGAATTGGATAACTAATTCACCTTTGTTCAGACATTATAGACAGCTTTTATCTGAGGATACCAGTGCATTACAGACATTATTGAATTAGAGGTCATGTCATCTGATAGCGAAATACAGCCACCTCTGGTGTGGAACAAAATAACTTGCGTAGTAATAATCCATAATAATTTAGAACAAGGTCAGTAGGATGAATGTAATTATAGTCAATATTCTATTACCCAGTGTGGATTATTCATGTTGGAGATAATCTGGTAAATTTTCAATCCTAGTTTACCTCTGCTATTTGAAGCTTCCTCTTCCTGTTTTTCCTTTTCCTTCTCCAAATGTTTTTTCTTATGCCATCTTCTTATCATTTCTTATACTTCCTAAAGCTCATATTTCAACTGATTTTACCTTATTACTGTAGAAGATGTTTATAATCTGCTTTAAAGCCGTAGACATGTGGCTTTCAAATTTTTCAGTTTTAGATCTGTTTGTTATCTTCACCAAATCTCTTTTTCTTTGCTGTTGACCATGCCTGCCTTTGAATGATCACATGGCCATGGAATTTGTCCTGGATTATTTAAATGGGGGGGAGG